TTTAGCCAAACCCGGTATGCTGGATTTGAAAGGAAAAGTCAAATGGGAAGCCTGGAATAAGAAGAAGGGCACTTCGCAAGAAGTAGCGAAGCAAGCCTACATCGATTATGTCAACCAACTGATTGAAAAATATAAATAATTTTATCTATCATCGCTGGTAGTTGCATTCCTGTTGTAATCATGAATCAAAAGAAATGTATTTTTATATAATTCCTCAAATATTAACATTTTGTTACTTATTGTAAATTAAATGTTTAGAAATTTTTCATTATGATTTTGTTGCGTGAATGTTTGAACTTTTCCTGATACTATGATATGATCATTTATAATCAAACAAAAAACCAGATAAAATATGTTGTATCGCACATGTGTACACGACACGCAATCTTTATCAATAAGTTACCACGCGATATCCTCCAATCACGTAATGCAGGGCTTCCTTTATTCATTTCGGGGCCCCTGCTTTTCAGTTAATATCATATGTCTAATTAGATTTTCCTATGCGATTTTATTTGGCTGTCTTTTCCAAATGTCTTATGAGGAAGATGCTTGTTACTCTGAACTCCATCAACTTTGCAACTCCTAATTTTTTGATGGAAAAACAATAGCGGTAACAAAGCACGCAGACAACAAACGAACAAAAATAAAAGCGGTACAACCTGCCTTGAGTGAAGCACTTCCAGTAGTATCTTAATTTTTTTTATCGGTATAGTCAGGTGAAGCGTTATATTTAAGAAGAAATTTCGCAGAATAATCGCCGATTATCGCTATTTGCTCACTGGCTACACCAATGTTTAAATCCAGTTTAATAGATAATTTTGTGCAACAAGAAAGCGCACGCATGCAGATACACTCGCCTTCTCAATCATTGTGTTTTATTTCCACATATCTTTTTATTATCGGGGTTTTAATATTAAACGCTCATCTTTCACATTTATTTATTTATTTATACAACATAGAAACGTATAAAATACATATAAATTACAGGAATGAGAGATTTAAAATAATGAAAAATGCATTGAAAAATGATAAAAGCAAAGTATCACGAAATTCTCGTTGAATAATCTCAAATCTTTGCTTTCTTGTTTATTATATTATTTGAAATCTATCATTTGACTTCTACAGGGTGTTCCCGCATTAAATCGCCAAATATAAATTTAGAACCTTAAAACAAACTTCATACAAAATCAAAAGATATTTAAACTCATATATTAAGTTTGACGGTCTGAGAACAATCTGAGAACACACATTGTATAAGTGAAACAAGTAATTTTGTGAGAAATAGACTACAATAATAAATATAAAATGTTTTTACTATATTTAAATTATTACATATTTCTATCGTATAAAAATTATACATCTAATGTGTGACATATATAAACATTTATATCATATAATTATTGTTGTATTGTATGTTGTATATATATATAATACACATATACACACACACACACACACACACACACACACACACACACACACAATAGCATCTAAATATTTTTTCCAATTTTTTAAATACTAAATTCATAGAATTTACATGTAATATATTTTTTTCTCATCGTTATTGATTTCACATAGAGATGTAATATGTGTGAATCTATTCCCAATAAGCATACAAATTTGCAAAATATTTTTTAAATGTTTATTTAATATATTTATATTAAATAAATATTTTCAAAACATTTTTTAATGTATGCTAGTTGGGTTATTTTACATTAATAATACTTGGAAGATTTTAATCTCTTGTGGAAATTAAACAAAATTTTGTTTAGAGAAACGTAAATCATAATAAAATACATATGTACTAACTATATCATAGCAAAAAGTATATAATTAGTATATAGTATAATTAGTATATAGTATAAATAATTAAAATTTTTGCCATATTTTATACATCTCAATGTGACATTCAAATATAAAATGAAGACAAATATACAAAATACTTTTTTATTTGACAATTGCATCAGATCATAGTGAATACCTTCCAAGTATTATAAATGGAATACTCGTACTCTCTATAATATATTATTTTAAAAATTTATCAAATTATTATCTGATGAGTCATATTAATAAATTAAACTGATCCAGGACATTATTGTAGTGCTTCATTTTATTATGTGATATGGGAAAAGTCAGCACCTTTGTCATTACTGGTTGACCATTTCTTTTGATTTCGAATATGACTGTGCCACATACCATATAAGAAATATACGCCCAAGCCTGCAATAGCATGTTAAAACAATCAAATATATATCAACGTATTTGTAAATATTTATATTCATCTCGTAATATACTTACCAATTGCTATCCATATGGCGAATAATATCCATGTGTCTTTATCCAACGTCATCATAAGATAAATATTAATGAGAATACTGAATCCTGGCAAAAACGGCACAAACGGCACCTAAAAATTTAAAAAATATTTAAAACCTATTTAATAAATTAATTGTTTTTCAACTAATAAATTATTGTCATTTAACCATTAATTCGCAATATTATTCGTTTTTTCTATTAATTTCCCTGGAATATTTTTCAAAGAAAAATTAAAAATATCAATAATTAAAAATAAAATAAAAATTAAATAACAATTCATTGAAAAATAAAGATCTGAGATGAGATACTTACAAGGAACATTATCTAATTAATATACCCTAATTTTGATGAAATTTATGCCAATTAAAATAAATCAATGAAAAATAATAATGTCAATTTTATTGATAATCATCAATGCTAAAAAACATGGTTAAAAAACAACATGAAATGTTAATATCACTTATCAGATTGCAACCCATATGGCTTCTTGAATACAATCTGTCACGTTAACAATTGCTGATAAAAGTGGCATTATTCTTTTCATTTTGAGCATATTTTCATAGTAAAGTTTCGTAAAAATCGATAAATATCAATTTTAGTATCTCTTATCAATATTAAAGTAATATACTCAAGGAGATACTGACCGAATAGGATCATTATTTTATTATTTTATCGACTTATACATAGTTTACAATAATATTCTCATGATTTATGACACATCGATACATCAATATAATAGCATTACACGCTACTATATCAATATCATATGTACAAATTTTGAAGCACACTGATAATTTTAGAATCTCCTTAACGTTTATATGTAATATTCAATAATAATAATAGAAATAAATAAAATCTAATATTCTTATATTAATGTCGCAAATTAAGAATTAACAAGATAATACTAACAAAGAAATTGTAACAATAAAAAACATACATACCGAAAACGCGAGTTTTCTGCCGGAGACTGGTTGAAAATAAATAAAACTGAGAGTGATCACGAGTCCAATGACGAAAATTACGAGTAACACTATGAAAGCGACTTTTCCTGCGGCGATCTCTGTCGTATACATCGATAATAATATGGCAGTACAGATACAAAGAAGAACTGCAAAAAATTTAATAATTTACATGAAACATGTAAAATCTCGAGGTCAACGTTCATTATTAAAACAATAATAAGACTTACTATAGCAGCATACTAGGACAGTAACAATCTGCGCTGTGAGTTTTGTAGAATGATTTAATTTGTTTGCACTTATCAATTGTTTTATGATAAATACAAAAGTCCGTGGATTATGGTCGCCTTTCTTCTCATATGCTTCGCTTTCCTCATATCTACAAAAAAATTATATTTGTTATCGACAAAAAGGATTTTGTCATCGATATTAATCTGTTCAATTTATTTTTAATCTCATTATCAGTTCAATTAAATTTATTTTCAACATATTTCAAACATATTTTCAACTTCAATTCTTAAACAAATCAATTTAACTATAATTCTACATAAATAAAATTAAGTTAGAAATTTAAATTTACCGTAAAATAAGTACGCAAGATGCAACAATTGAATATGTAAGGAGCGTACAAATACTCATCATTTTAACTAGTGGATCAAGTTCAAATATTGTTGCTAGAATGCCTGTAATATGTAATATAATCATTAAATGATTATATAATTAATTATACAATAAAATAGTTGTTTCAAGAAATTATTAATTAAATAATTGTTTCAGACAATTATTATTACGAACCCGTAAGTAGTCCAGCGGAAAGCGTGCCCATAATAGGAGTTTGAAATCGGGAATTTATGTTGCCCATCCATTTGAAGACCAGTCCATCTGAAGCCATGGCATAAATCACTCGCGGCAGCGGAAACATCGAACCTAACAGACTAAAATAATTAGTCAATAAACGAAAATATTTATTTATCCTTACTTTAATAAGAGATCCTTTAATAAGATGGATTATAATACAAAACAAAATATAAAAAGATGTTTGTAAATTAAAAAAATTTTGAAAGAATTACATCTACAGATCTATCTGAAAGATCTGTATGTGAAAATTATTTACTACTTTATTTTATTAAAAAATATATTTTTTTTAAATTGATGCAACTGTAAACGATATTACCTAGCGCATAGTCCGCTAATCGCTCCGATCGTCACGAACCACTTGGCCCATTCCCACCCTATAAAGTCAAATATATGCGGGAATGGTGCCTCGGGATTTTGTTCATAGTACGGTAGCACGGTAGTGAGCACTACGGAAACTCCGAAGTATGCAAGAAAGACAATCGTTAATGACGCGACGATTGCAATAGGAATGGACCGTTGTGGATTCTTAGCTTCTTCTCCCGTAGTGGCCACGCAATCGAAACCGATGAATCCATAGAAACATGCAGCCGCACCTGTTATAATGCCTGATATACCGTAAGGCATAAATCCCCCTTCTCCATTCTCGCAGTCTGTTTCTGTGCAACTGGGTTCCGTTTTCCAGTTATTAATGTCAGCTAGAAATCGTTGCAAATTTTATGTTGTATTATATATATATATAT